CCCCAGGAGAGGCAAGATTGCCCCTGATTGAGAACCACTAAATCAGATTAAATCAAAGGGGTTTGTCAATTCACGAAAAGGACATGTTTTCTGTTATTCACCAGCTTATTCATTCATACATTCATTCATTCATTGGACAAGACACAGTACTAGATACCGCATTCCAAAAATGAGTAGAGCACAGTTTCTGTTAAGAACTGAAAGTCTATTAAAAGACAAAGAGGCCATTGTTTAGAATATAGCATATATTTGCAGTTCTGTGAGATGAAGGTTTTAATGCATGAACAAAATTACCCATGAAAGGCCCCAACCTCACTTGAAATGCATAAGACACATGATTATGGTGGATACAGGAAATTAGCATCCAATTCAGCTTCGCAGAGTGCCCTCCTGACCTCCACCAGTTGGAGAGCCCAGAATCCCTTGCTGTCAGGTTTCTAACTGCAGAGTGGCTCTCTAATCCTTTACATGACACTGAATCCACAAGAGCCCATCTTCCTGCTGCTTACTGCTCAGAGGCACAGTGCTGGAAACCGGGTATCCCCCAGCAGTGTTCCAGTGTCTATCTCAAGCTCAGAAGGGGTCCAGAGGTGAGTGCAGGAGGGACAGTGTGCCTCCTGGGCCCCCAGTGACAGCTATGACACTCCATTCTTGAATTCAAAAGGTTGGTAGTGGACCCCTAATTCTGCTTTCCTGCTCTGAGAGAAGAAACAGCATTCCTGGCAGGCCAGGTAGCAGTACTATTCTGGAACTTTTTCTGAAAGATTCAGCCATAAGTCTCTAGCACTCCAATGAATATGTATGGGCCTGATTCCTTGAATTATAGTTCATCCTGCTTAAAATATCTAGAATGAATTCTGGTTTTTTTGAAAACTGAGCCCTGCAACTCTATACAACAAGCTGTAATAGCTCAGTGAATCTATCACACACAGTGTGATCACACACACCCAGTATGGAAACAGATCATAGATTCTTCAGTTAAGCAGCAGATGAAGAATTTGGCTTCCATTTAGGGGCCATGCTGCATGAAAAATATGTTTGCTTTTGTTTGTATGTTGTTGAATTGATACAAGTAAAAATATAAGATTGCACTAAAGATGCAGTGCCAACGATAAGCACAGGATGCAGTATGGAAATAGTACATAGTCAGGGAGATTTTCTAGAGCAGTGATATCTGAACTGAGTCTTAAAGTAGAAGCAAGAGTGAGGGAGGGAAATTGCAGTTGAGGGCAGGGCAAAGGACCAAGCAAGCCAAGCAGAGAATGCACAATAGGTATGAACAATTGAGAAAGCACAGTATATTTGCAAACCTGGAAACTGTTCAGCGTAGCTGGAATGTACAGTGACAGGTAGGGAGTGATGAGATAGCCACTGGAATGCAGAGGCAAGATCGTGAAGTAGGGGAAACAATATTATCCACGTTTTTTTTTGAGCCCAAGAAGCCACTGATTCTAAGACATACCATCTACTTTATAAAAGCTTTGAAGGGAAAAATAGAAATCCTACACTAAATGTGTTCATTTCTTTTAAAACCAACTAAAAATATCAGTCATTTATCAATCTAAACTCCCTCTTTTCAATACCTAAGTCAGAATGTTCATCTAAATCTTCTTGACAATATTTCCCTATAAAAGTCTAGAGGGCCTAGTTATCCTTCTAAATCACTTTCTGTCATTTGGTGGTTGGTTATATTTAGCCTTTCACCGGTGCCTGTGGTCTTGACTTTTTTTGAGATTGACAGTAAATTTCAAGCCATATCAAATTATATTAAGATTTCTTCCTCTGCATTTCCTATTTGGTTAGACTCAGAATTTTGGTTTTTTTTTCCATTATTAAGTTATATAGTATTATAAGTCAAATAACTTCTCTTAGAAGTTAGTCAGAAACCTTTAACAGGTCAATATTTCATAACCAAATAAAGGTCCTATGTGAAAACAAATTAACCACACTAACTTCTTCCTGCTTTGCAAAGCCTGTGATCTGTTGCAAGAGATTTGGCAATGTAGGCACTCTGATTCTATCACTTAGTGGATGATAGGCTATCTTTTATATACAGAATTTATTTTCATTTCAGTGGTGCATCATAAAGATATTTTTTGCAAACATCCTAAGCAAAGAATTAGGGATCCAAATTTAAGTTTAAATTCAACCACTTGTTATCAATGAAAAAAAAAAAGCCGAATTGGAAGAACAATAGAATGAAGAGATACCATCATGCATGGCTTAGTTCACACGAGCTCAAGAAATGACAACTGTCACAATTCTACAACTCTCTCCTCTACCCAGAAACTTGTAAGACACTTTGACAGTAAGAGTTTTCTTGTCTTCAGAAAATGTAAAAAGAAAGAAAGGGAAAAAAAATTATATATATATATATATATATATATATATATATATATATATATATATATGGCAAACTGGGCCTGGAACAAAGCCCAGTGTGGGCCCCCTGTATACCATAGAAAATCTTTTCCTTCACATCAGGAGATATGGGGTGTGGGTAAGGCTGAGCAAAGATGATTTGAGGTGAGAAGTGAGAGTGGAAAAAGAGGAAAAGAAAATAGAAAGAAGTCTTTGCTTTGCTAGAAGAGATGATTTTATTTTAAAAAAAAAAGCATAAAACAAAAACCAGAAGGCAGATGACTCACCATCATACCTGAGGAACACTCAGATATGCAAATAATACATGGTTCCTTTAATCTCTAAAATGTACTTAATCTCCTTTTTGAATTGCCATCCTGCTTAATAGTGGCAGCATTTTTAAATTGTCCATTTATCATATTTGGATTTTTCTGGTTTACGCTGTCCCCATTAACCTTAAGTGTCCAATCTACCAGGCTTTCATTTCCCTCTCCAATTGGCTTAAAAACATCTCCTTTAGAAAACTTAGTTTTATGTCTTGAAGATTTTTGCCTTCCCCCTTCTCATCCCTAAAGCGACATCTAGAATGCAGAATATGGGAAGGTATGTGACTTGTGTAATCTCCAGACAGCAGGGGCAGAAAGGTCCTACCTTTGCCCTGTTCTCTGTCTCTATCTCCACAGCAAGATCCTTCATCCACCACTTGAGCACATGCCCTCCTAACACTTGAAGCTGATGGTGGGACACTGATGTAGCTCATGGGCTAATCTGTATGGTGGGAAGGGTCCCTGGTTGACTCAGTTGCAGCACTGCCCGCTTTAGTGCTACAGACCACTCACACACATACAAGCAGGTCTGGCTCTGCACCCTCTGCAGCCCTTGTCTCAACCCATGTCATCCCCTCCCTCATAGCGACACTCCTCCTACACACCGGCAAGCTCTCCAGCCAGTCTCTCAGGGAATTTGGGGTTCCCCTTCAAGGGGATGAGAAAATATCTAGATCTCAGCCACAACTGGGGAACTGAGAGTGACTTGGTGAGTTAAAGGTTGGTGACTTCAACACCCCCCAACTTTGCTGAACTTTTGAGTGTATTTTCATGTCGTCAATCCAGACAGTCTGTGAAGCATCTCCTTCCACATGTTCCACATGTGAGAAAAAGTAAAAGCCCCTAGGGAGGTGATGTTTCTTGGATTTCTCTAACACACCACACCTCTATTGTCCAAGCCAAGGTTTGGAGAGGGATGATGGGAACTCACACCTGCCAGTCTCACTCTGCTTCTTCACCCTCCCTCCCTTTATCCTTTTCACAATCTCTTGGACCTGGTAAGAGCTTTTCAGATCCTCTAAAGTGATATCTAGAATACAGAATGAGGACTTATGTGGCTTATGTAATATCTTCATAGTAGTTAGGAGAACACTAGCTGTTGTAAAAAATATATACTTTGTAATATTATGGCTTAATACAACAAAGGTTTGTATTTCACCCATATTCTCACAGTTCATTGCATGTGTTCCTGGTCAGATGCCTTTCTTTGTGGTCATACAGAGGCAAAGCTTCTGGCATCACATAGTTCTGATCTTCTCTTGGCCCTGAAAAGACCCTATATATAAGGGGTGGCAATGACCCAAATCACTTCCACTTGCGTTCTATTGGTCAGAAGTCAGTAGCATAGTTATCCCAAAATCCCAGGGAATCTATGAACTGTAATCTAGAGATGTATCTATGAGGGGAAAAAAATCTCTGGGGGAGCAATCTTCGTGGTATAGGTCATAGGAAAGGGAAATCTTTTTTACAATATGTAAAAAATACTAAATTCTGAGTTCTCTAGGCTCAGTTTTCTTATATTCTTTTTAAAAAATATTTTTATTATTTATTTGAGAGAGTGTGAATGTGAGCAGGAGTTGGGGGGGAGGGGAGACGGGCAAATGGAGATGAGGAAGCAGATTTCCCCGCTGAGCAGGGAGCCTGTCACCACAGGGGCTCAATCCCAGGGTACTGGGATCATGACCTGAGCCAAAGGCAGGTGCTTAACCAACTGAGACACCCAGGTGCTCCAGTTTCTTTATATACTGAAGGAATTTTTATAATCCTTTTCTACAAAGCCTGATCTTCTGTATATTGTCTTGCTTAAAGTCTTATTTTGAATTTCAGAAGCTGAAAGTAACCCTTTTTCTTTGCACTTCTGATATAATACATGTAATCCACACAATAAGCATCCCTTGAAGCAAAGGGATATTTCCAAGTACACTGAATTACAAAAGATTAAAGCATATTAATACTTTGAAAATAGTCCCTTTTACATAAAATTATTTTAGCCCTGAATGCTGTTTCTGAGATTCCAAAGGTGGCCAAAGAAGCTACAAAAAGAAAGTTTTCCCTGAAGGAGGTCAGCAACCTGCTCTCATACACCACACAATAAATTGAGGCCCAAACAGAAGTCAACATCCTTAGCTCCTCGGCTAGGACAGTGCTAATCAAATCTATTCTCCTTGTCTATCAACTTCAGCAAGACCACCCTAACCTCTGACTTCAGAGTGGTCCTTGTGGGATATGTTGAGATTTCAGATTTTATCCCAAAGGCTATGTGGAGAATAAACACATTTGCATTTTTGAGAATTTTGGAGAATGGAGGCAGAAATGGCAGTGATGCATACAAGAAAATATGAGGATCAGAATTCTCTAAATGCAGAAGGAGCTGAATTAGAAGGTCAGTTGGATGTTGAGGATGAGGGAGAAGACCACAAGGATGACTGCCCAATTTCTAATGTTAAAAAACTAGGAGAACAGTGGTGACCTTCTTTGAGACACAGGAGGAGAAAGTTAGAGGTGGGGAAATACAATGAGCTCAGTCATAGGTAAGCTGAGTTTGAGGTATCTGTGGTACCTCAAAGAGATTTTTACCATGAACACCTTGTGGATATGGATCTGGAGCTTAGAAAGAAGTTTAAGTTAATGGAACAGATCTGAGAATCTTTGTGATTAAAAAAAGGTATCTAATGCCAAAAATCGTGTTAAAGGAAAAGAAAAGAGGGATGAAAGGAGATCTAAGGAGCATCAACATTTAAACAATGTGCAGCGAAAAAGGAGCAAATAAAGACTGAGAAGAAACATCCAGAGAAATAAGGGGATAAAGGGGAAAAAGGGAAGAAAATTGAATCAACAAAGAAGATATCTACTTTGATTTAAAAAAAAGCAAAAAAAAAAAAAGCAAATAGGAGTATAAGCTTTATATTGTTCCCACTTATGGGATGCTGAGGGATTTGAGCTAGTTCCATTCTGGCTTCCTATTCCCTTAACCTGGTCTAAGTCTTCAAGGACCCACTTTTCTTCTATGGATGCTGAGAACTCAGGGAACAAGGGATTTATTTATACTGTGTAGTTCAACAGAGATTGGCTTTGAACAAAGGCTTGACAAGGACAGTCACCAGGCAATATCCTGGCCTGTACCAAGGAAAATTCTCATTAGGATCCAAAAAGGAAGGCAACTAGCAGAGTCTCTGGATGACAAAGACACAGAATACACTCTCATGAACCCTTGGACACTGGCAATACCTCTTACATTGTCTCATTCTGAAACAGCCCCCATTCCCAGTTGGATGAATCCCTTCAGGACCAGCCACCTTCTTCTCATCCTCATAACCTCTCTGCTAATTTCCTTAGTATCTCTCCATCTTCAGTAGAGGTTTGGGGAATAGCTCTCCTTTGGAGAGTCAGAGGAAGGAAGGCTTGCTTCCACTTGTAAGGTCTCCCCAGGGTTTCGTGGGGTTTTTAGACCCATATCAGGGTGACACTTTGAGGTTATCTGTCCAAATTTGTCACATTCTTCCAATGGAGCAATGAGCCCAAAGAGACAAGCTGCTTCAATCGAGGGTGAGAGGGATGTCAAAGGAGAAGGAAGGGAAGGAAATATTTTATCAGGGAAAAAAAAACATAATTTACTATGTAAAATACTAGGCTGATACCAAGGGGGAAAACCCTAGTGCTAGAGTCAAGTATTTGCGCCCCCTCAAATTCACATGCTGGAGGAAGGTGAGGCCTTCGAAAGGTGCTTAGGTCATGCAGATGGAATGCTCATGAATCACACAGAACTCCCTAGCCCTCTCACCATGTGAAGATAGAACAAGAAGTCTGTGACAAGGAAGAGAGCCCTCACTCAACCATGATGGCATCATAATCTTGGACTGCAGCCTCTAGAACTGCGAGCAATACATTTCTGCTATTTATAAGCCACACAGGCTATGCTTTTTGTTATAGTGGCCCAAACAGACCAAGAAAGCTGGATGGTGTTAAAAAGATGACTTTTCGACATAGTGTACTTAGAATTCTGTTGTCTAAAAAGGTAAAGCATCAATGACCAATAGAGGTATAAAACAGGACCTTCTCTTCCTTCTGAAGAAGTAGTGAAGAGAAATAGATATGGAAGGTAAGTATTATATCACAGAGGTCAACTTTTTCAGGGCCTAAATCCCTCTTCTACCCCAAAAACAAATATGTTACCATGGATTGGACATTGGCTCTTTCTGAGCTTCAAGATACCATTTAGAATGCAGGAGATTTGTAAGATAGTCAAGAGTCTGGTTATAGATGTAAATGTTTTATCAGTCAGTTTTTTTTTTTATCAGTCAGTATTGACTAGTTTCATATCATTAGTTCCAACAAATGGGGCTGTTGGTTGGTCCACTGTACATTTTTTCCAACCTCAGGTTCAGGTGACGTTGGGAAACTGATGGTTCCCAACCATCAGCCTGGCCACAGGCCCATGATTTTAAAAAATGCAAGTGGCATATAACAGCAACATCTCTAGCTCTGACTTCATGCCCCAAAGTGCTAGACTTTTTCCTATGAGAAACTGGAGAGTGATCCAGTTCCTTCTATATCACTATATACATACCTTTAAAATCTTGCCTTCTGGGGATTCCTGGGTGGCTCAGCAGTTAGTGCCTGCCTTCAGCCCAGGGTGTGATCCTAGAGTCCCAGGATCGAGTCCCACATCAGGCTCCTGGCATGGAGCCTGCTTCTTCCTCTGCCTGTGTCTCTACCTCTCTCTCTCTCTCTCTCTCTCTCTCTGTGTGTGTGTGTGTGTGTGTGTGTGTATGTCTCATGAATAAACAAATAAAATCTTTAAAAATAAAATAAAATAAAATCTTGCCTTCCTATTTTAATCAGAGATATTTGGCCAGTATTCCCTTTTCCATAGCACTCCTTCCTATTTCAAGAAAAAAAAGTCAGAAATAATAATTTATATCAAAGTGAAAATATTCAAAAGAACAGAAATGGAAGGGGGATATAATCCTCCTAACATAATTCTCTTAATTAGAAGCAATTGTAGTTTACACCTAAAAATGTTTACTCTAGGGCCAGATTGCCTGGGCTAAAATCACCAGGTCATTATCTATGTGACTTTGGGCATATCTTCTTTGGCCTTTGATTTCCTCATTTGAAAAATTCAGAAAAATCCCTGCCTCCTACTATTATAAAAATATTAAAACTCTTAGGACACTGCATGCCACATATTAAGCACTCAATAACTGTTATCTGCCTATAGTCAGTTGACCTTCTTCAATTACAAACCCATTTTCAGCTTGCTAACGTTTTATCTTATCATTTTCTTTAGTGCCCAGCATTATGCCAAAGATAAAAATCAGTCATTGATAATGATGATAATGCAAATGTTAAGAATGAAGTCACAAGAGGTCAAAAAGGAGAACTCAGGTTTTTGGTCCAGAGTGGCTTGGACATTCTGAAAAAATTTTGAAGAATCTTATCCTCACCCTGACCTCAGAAACAAACAAACATTTTTGAAGAAAAACACCAGCCCTTTGGGTGCCCAGGTGGCTCAGTTAAGCAACCAACTCTTGGTTTCTGCTCAGATCATGATCTCAGGGTTGTGAGATCAATCCCCAGATCTGGCTCTGCACTCAGTGCAGAGTCTGCTTGAGATTCTCTACCCCTCTCCCAATGCCCCTCCCCCCCTTTCAAGTAAATAAATCTTAAAAAAAAAGAAAAACACTAGCCATCAATAATCAATTTGATTCACAATATAATCAGTTCACACATCATTATATTTCATAGTTTGCCCCCCAAACATTTATTCCATAGTGACGGCAGCAAGATAACTTGTCATAATGGAAGACATACCATGTTAATGTATTTTCATACAAAGATATGAAATTTAACCAATTAATCCAAGTAATTCAGCAACAGAATTTATTACAATAACCAAAAAGGCATTAATATTAGTCTGATATCATTAAAAATCCTTGTTTTTGTTTTTTCTTTTTTAAGTTTTTTGACAGTGTCCGCTGGGAGTAAAAATGGATTTAACAATTGAATCCAAGGCTAGAGATTATGGTCAGGATACTACTTTAATGGAATTTTTTATTATAAATGAAAAAGAATATAGGATTTTTAACACAGAGAAATAACCACTCTGACACTTAGGCCCAAAAGACTAAAGAGAAATATCCTTAATATTAACCTAACACGGTGACCTCATTATGCCTTAGTCAGTATAATCCTTAGCCATTAGCTGAGATATAGATTTTTGTACATGAGGGTATTGTTCTCTGTGTGAAAGAAATGCCTTTAGAAACATTTCAATTAATTTATTATAAAAGCTTTCTGGGGAGGCTGTAGGGTTAGTGGGGAGAATGTGGAGGTAGGAAGGATGCTATTTTTAAAGACTCTAAAATGACTTTTTGATACTGAGTATAAAATAACCCTATTTGAACTTGGGATTTCCAGGACTTCTTTTTGAAATGGAACTAACTCCTCTCCTGAGGAATTCTGTATTTAAATAAAAAGACTAGGGTAATTGTTGGGTGAGGTCAAGGTACTATGATAGCTGCATGTGTATACGTACATGTGTGTGTGTGCACGTGTGTGTATGTGTAAATATGTATGTGTGTGTGTAAATGTGTGTGCATACACATTGTGGGGAGCCCTCCAGATCCAGCCTTCACGACTCAGGCACACATTTTGTTAGCTGTGAGGGGGACTGATTGCAGACTGCTCACAGGTTGGGTCTCTCTGGTAATTGCACTCAGGGAAAGGGAGACGTGGAGTTTATACCCACTCAGTGGAATTTATACCCACCCCCCAAACCCCCAGGGCCAGTTTACATCCAGTGACTAACCAGTGAGGGTGTACAGGGCTTTGCCTCTCTGCTCCAAACAACTCTAAAGGACTACCCCAGCTCCGAGCTTCCTGTGATATTAGCTGAAACCTTTGTTGTACCTACACTGCTTCCCTGTCTTCTTCACGGAGTTCTTCTGGAAAACATGCCTGAATAAACTCCCTGAATACAAATCTCCAAATCAGTGTCTGTTTCCCAGGGAACCCAAACTAAGACATCAAGCATTTATTATTAATATCTATTTTAGCAAAGGATGAGTTTACGAATATATAAATGTTGAAGGGAGATGAAGAGGGGATGGATCCTTGAATTTAGCCCGACTGTTGATATAGAAGTAGCAAAGAATTAAGATTGTGGTTTGTTATTTTGCTAGCCTGATACCTTACATGTTTTATTCCAGTGCAGATTTCCAGACAATTGTCTAAATCATAAGAAAAAAGACTTCTAGTCCAGTTGTGTTCAACACTCTTCCAACCACCTCTTTATTACCACTATTGCCTTTCAAAGACAGCAGAGTTGGTGCTGAGTAATCCTTTTGAGATTAGAAGGGCTTAAATCAAGCCCAGGCATAT